AAATTTCCTTATATGTACATTTTTCAATGAAATTTCTTTAATAATAAATTTTATCAATTTTTGTTATTTTTTATTTTCTTCACGATAAATTATTTTGAATGTATTCTCTTCTCAGTCAGGAAAATAAACTATGAAATAATAATGCAAGTTGTTACGCGAAAGATCAACCTCTCGTTATGCAACTCTCCAAAAGTTAAATCTTGCGTGTTTGTAGCAGACCATCGTATTTCCGACGACTCGAAGTTGAGAGAAAATCCGAGTTGTCTATGCTGGAAACTCGAAGAGACGCTGTTGAGCTTTCTATTCGGAGGATGTAAAGCCTCTTGTCTTTTCCATGGTTATCTGAAAGCCCGAAAGAATGATAACGCGTCACCAGCAGCGGACCAAGCTCGTCAAGACATAAATCTCTCAAACCATTAAATACACAGTAAATCTAGAGAGCGCTTTCTTCCTCGAGAACTTTATATATTATATACTATATTTATATACACGTACTATGACGCGCTTTTGACAAATTTGTAGAAATATTGATCACATACTTTGTCTTCTAGAAATGAAAGTTTTTGAGATATTGAAACACATTATTGAATAACACACATGTTTCTTAAGTTATTTTGCATTATACAGATAGAGAAAGCGCACATTAAAAACAAATGTCGATTTCGAAGAAATAATAAACCTGTTTTAAAATATTGCATTGCCGGATCTATTATTTTATTATTTTATTAAAAGATCTTCCCCTAATTTGACATTCTGAAAATGAGGCGATTTTTGGGAATTTTTTTTTTAAAGAAAAGGGTAATTATTCAGAATCACGGCTCCACCTGCAAATGGGCTGCAAATTTTTTTACGGACTTTTTATGTTTAGAAAGAAATATAAATAATCATTTTTAGTTGGGGGGAGCCCAAAAAAAAAGTTACAGACCAAAAAAGGGTAATTATTTCGAACAAGGTCTTTTCTGAATTTTGACAAATATGATCGGATCTTTCGGTAAAACTTTTTGTTGTGACTCCAACAGTGATAATCAGTCGGGGGAACCTGTCCCCCATCAACCTCACCCCCCAAAAAACGAAAAACCCAAAAATTACCAAAGCAAAGCGAGGTCCAACCCACAACCCAAACCAAATTTTAGTTTTAAATCAGAAATAGGTTTGGGTTAGGTTATATCTTCCGGAAGAGGAGGCCCCCTCCGTAGGGAGAAGGCGGAACCCACTGTGTCCATGCATATACTTTACAATGCGAAGCGAGGTTCAGCCCAGAATCGTTGTGTGGATGGGAAAGTGTATGTGTGAACGCAGTGAGTTCCGTCCCCCCTACGGGGGGGGTCCCCTTCCC